GCCACACTGATGCAGCCCTTTGAGCTAAGTATAAAGAAAGCACTTGCCCAGCTAATTTACCCTGTGCAGACTTGAAGATTAGGAGGAGACTTCAATTCACTAAAGGCTAGATGGTTCCAGTTACCCGCGGGCACCATGGAAGTATACAGCCTTTATGGGCAGTGTAGAGGCTGGGTATGGACTATCCTTTGCTATTCAGTGAAGCAGCCACTTTGGGATCTTGATTAACCTTACAAGCTAAAACAATACACCATTGTGCACACACGCTGTAATCAGACTGTCCTCTCACCGTACTTGCTGCCCCCATTCACCTCCCATCTCCCAGCTGCTCCAAATTAGAGAGCTCTTTGTGGGGTCCTGGCACCACCTCTTAGCACACTGCCTGGACACATAATACTCACTCCATGCATATTTGTTGAATGAATAAGGAATAAGGAATGAAAGACACATTTCTACATACACATGTTCACCAAATACTCTCCTGGTCAGAGCCAACAACAAAATGGTTGTGGGAATTCTTTTCCTCACCTATTGGATAGTCTGGGTCTGAGAGTCCGTTTGAGGTTCTAAGAGTCATGAGAGATCGAAGACAATATTTTCTTACCCATTTAACTCCTCCTCGACTAATTTACGTAATAAGGCCATTTTAAATTTGTCCAGCTCTGTCCTAGCCAACCGCAGTGTCACTGTTGGCCGCCGGCACACAAAGAGCCTTCTGTCCTCAGCAGTCCACAACCATTTAGTTTAGCTATTACATTAGCCATTTTATGATTTTTCCCTAGATAACATATGCCCTTTTTAATAACAGCTTTTTTTAGATATAATTCACATACCATAAAATTAACCCATTTAAAGTGAATAATGGAATTTTTTTTAGTATATTCACAGAGTTATACAGCCATCGTCACAATCAATTTTGGAAATTTTCATCACCTCAGAAAAGAAACCCGTACCCATTAGCTGTCACTCCCAACCTCTCCAGCCCAGGCAAGCACTAACCTCCTTTCTGCCTGTGTAGATTTGACTGTGCTGCACGTTTCATATCGATGGAATCAGATGCCATGGCTCTTTGTGGCTGGCTTCTTTCACTTAGCGTGATGTTTTCAAGGCTTCATCTTTGCTGTAGCATCTGTCAGCACTTCGTTTTTTTCAATTGCCAAATAGTGTTCTGTTGTCTGCATATACCACGTTTTGTTTATCCATTCATCATTTCATGGACATTTTAGTTGTTTTCACTGTTTGGCTTTTATAAGTAAAGCTACTATGAATGTTCACTCGTAAGTTTTTGTGTGGACATATGCTTTCATTTCTGTTGGGTAAATACCTAGGAGTGGAATTGCTGCATCATATGATAACTCTTTATTTAGGCTTTTGAGAAATTGCCAGATTGTTTTCCAAAGGGGCCGCACGATTTTACATTCCCATCAGCAGTGTGTGAAAGTTCCGATTTCTCCTCATTCTTGATAGTATCTGTCTTTTTTATTATAGCCATCCTAGTGGGTGTGAAGTGTTATGTCATTCTGGGTTTGATTTGCATTTCCCTGATGGCTAATGATGTTGAGCATCTTTTCATGTGCGTATTGGCCATTTTTATGTCTTCTTTGGAGAAATGTCTATTCAGATCCTTTGCCCATTTTTAAATGAGGTTGTCTTATATTTTGAGTTGTAAGAGGTCTTTATGTATTCTGGATACTAGACCCTTATCAGATATATGATTTGCAAAAATTTTCTCCCAATCTGTGGGTTGTCTTTTCGTTTTCTTGATAGTGTCCTTTGAAGCACAAATGTTTTTAATTTTGATGAAGTCCAATTTATCTATTTTTTTCTTTTGTTGCTTATTGTGTTAGTATCATATCTAAGAAACCATTGCCTAATCCAGGTTCACAGAGATTTATGCCTATGTTTTCTTCTAAAAGTTTTATAGTCTTAGTGCTTACATTTAGGTCTTTGTTCCATTTTGAGTTAACTTTTGTATACCATGTGAGGTTGCATGCCATTTTTGAAAACAAGTTAAAATGATAAATATCAGAAGTTTAAAAAATATGCAGTTATCTCTGGTTTTAATTGAAAATCATGTTGTTTCATTGAAGGTACCATTTAATGGAAAAAAATAAACTTTAACTCCTAATGAGGCTGATATTCTCAATATTTACTTTAAAAATTCGATAAGCTAAGAATTATTAGAAAAGACCTTTGATGTTTCTGTTTTTTAAAAATCAACTATCAGTAAAGATTTAAATAAATGAAACCATATTTTAACATGCTATATAAGCAATATTTTTAAACTACACTAAAAACATCTTTATTCTCCTATTACAATGATATGGGCTTCAGTTTAACACAGTGGTTCTCAGTCAGGGGCGATTTTGCCCTCAGGGGACATCTGGCAATGTTCAGAGAGACGGTTTTGGTTGTCACAGCGTGGCAAGGGGGTGCCACTGGCATCCCTTAGATGAAGGACAGAGATGCCACCACACAGCCTACAGCGCATAGAACAGCCCCCACGACAAGGACTCATCCGGCCCCAAGTGTCATTTGTGCCGAGGTTGAAGGACCCTTCTTTAACTAAATCAGTGGCTTCTGTCAGAGATATTCAAAAAGAGATATGAGTCTGCAAACCCTTTTCCTCTCAGTTACAACCTCCTGGGTTTCTCCCATCACAATGCTGAGCCTTACAGAGGCCACGGTATGTCCCTGCGCCTCATCAGAACCCTTTACACAGACCACATCTACCAGGTCTTCCCGTGTGGAGATCATTGGGACACACTTGCTTTCAGTCCTTAATTCATTTTATATTTGTATGTTTCCATTTTTTTAATTTTGAGATAAATGTGGATAAGACATCCCCTGTTCAACATACATATTTGGGTCTCCTGTTAAAATGTGTTTTATCAGGTTCTAGAACGACTGTGATAATAAGTAACAATTTTCGAGTGCTTGGCGCTGTGCTGAGCACTCTTCCTGCATGATCTAATTTAATCGTCTCAACAAATCTCAGAGAGCGGCTTTCATCGTTCACATTTTACAGCCGTAGAGACTTGAGGCACAACGAGACCAGGCAACTCGCCCACAGTCATGTAGCTGGAGTCGTCACTGCTCCAAGTCAGGGCTTAAGCCTGAAGGGGGCCTACTGTGAGGGGCGGGCACGTCACAAAGAACTTGAATTACTCATTATGGGTAATCACAGATGCATGTTTGGGGGATGGTTAGGTTGTTCTTTCATTCAGTCGGGTCACAGTACGGGCCCTGCCACGGAGAGGAGTGGACTCTCAGGAGAGCCACCTCACCTTGGACACGCCCACAGACGTGGCTCACTTTGAGCGTCACCCGTCCTGCGGGTCACAGTGGGCAGTGTCTGAGGACCTCTGCTTAAGAAAAACTGGGATGTCTGGGGCATCGCTTATGTCCTTGATGCTCACCCCCAAATCAGTCAAGTCTTGATTCTCTACCTACTGGCCATCCCCTCCTGACATGCTCCCACTCCCAGATGGCTCTCCTGACTGGCAGCTGAATTCATTTGCATCACCTGCACCCCTCCCCGAGCCCCTTATGTACCATGCGCTGAGCCAGGCCCTGCTCACCTTCGGCTCTCCCAGGGTCAGGGTCACACTCTGGTCTCCTGATCTTGCAGCCACTGCTCTTACTGGAACAGCACTGAGGTCTTAGCAGTGGTAAAACATCTTGTGAAATAATCATACTGCAGTTAAAGAGTGGTATTTCCCTCCCAAGCTTTATCCCTCTCTGTGCCAGGCACACAGCTGTCTTCGTACACCTGATGTCATTCCCCTCGCAGAGGGGGCTTGCAGGAAGGGACTTGGAGTGTGTATGAGTGAATGAAGATGTGCGTCTGGATGGTACAAAGATTGGAGATGGAATGGCTCTCCAGTTTGGCCAATGTGGGGGTGCGACAGGAAGTGAGGTGAGGTTCTGCTCACATCTGCCTTCCTGGTGTCCTCCACCACCTCTCTGAGTGAAGGGGGGAGGAACAATCATTAGAGAGGAAGATTGCCTTCCTTCCCCAAATCTCAAGAAGGACCCAGTTATTGTTCTAGATCTGCCCCTGAAACTCCTTGGGCAAGTCTTTCCCTGCTCTGGGCCTCAGTTTCCCCTTGAAGGAAGGGTGTGTGTACCAGACGATCTCTAAGCATCCTTGCAACCACAAACTTCTTTGAATCTCTAAGGCACTGGAGGCTGAGTTACAAGGAAGCCCGTGTGATTCAAATCCACCCGAATTAGGAATCTGCTTGAGTAGTAGGCCCACACCTACAAGCCTGCCCATGTTTGAAGAAGAGAACACAACGATTGGTTGATGCTATCTTTCTTCAGAGACTTATCTCCATGGGCAACGCTCAAAATATTTAACAGCCAGCGTGGCCCGAGCCTGGACCGTCAGGAGGGTGCAGGCAGCCGGCAGGGCGTCCGGGCTGCAGCCTGAAGGCCCGCCTCACCCACCACTCGTTCTGCCCAGCCTTGCCCCGCTTGTTTTTTGGGTCTGCCTTTTTCTGCCTGATTCTGCGTCCAAGACCCCAGCTCAAACCCCCTGGGCTGCTTCTCTCCCCAACCGCTTTATACACAAGGGCTGTAAGGATCCTCATGAGTCCGAACACCAACTGAATCGTATTCATCACTCAACAGAGGATCTTAGAGCCCCTCTCTGCTCAGCCCGCTGTCGGCTGATGCCTCACTCCCTTGCCTTCAAAAAAACATTAGAGGCTGGAAAACACTGGACAATTAAGAGACCTGAGACCTAGCCTAGCTCTGCCCCTTGTCTGCCTTGTGACCTTAGGCAAGTCCCTGCCCTCCTTGGGGTGGGTGTCAGATTCCTTACGTGGAATGATCAACTTGGATTGATTTGATGAGCTCTGAGGTCCCCTGCGTTCAGTGATGAGTTTCTGGGGAAATGCAAGTCTTCAGCTGCTGACTGCTCTCTCTCTCTCTTTCTTTCTCTCTCTCTCTCTCTCTCTCTCTCTGTCTCACTGGCCCCACACCCTCCACTGTAGAATGCACTGCTGCCTGCAGGCCTGAGGCAGAAGGATCAGACCACCAAGGCGCCCACGGGCCCCTTTAAAAGGGAGGAGCTCTTGGATCACTTGGAAAAGCAAGCAAAGGAGTTTAAGGACCGAGAAGATCTGGTCCCCTACACAGGGGAAAAGCGAGGTACTGAACAATGTTGCTCTTATGAATATGTCACTCCCCCTGCATCGCTGAGTGCCAGCTGTATGCCAGACCCGTGTTGGGCCAGATGTGACTGGGCCTCCTTGCCCTCATCCCTGCCTGGCCAGAAAACACAAACCCAACTCCAACAGCATCGACACATGACATAGATTTAGTGGAGCCTTTGGATAAACCAAGGAAAGAGTTACATCCACCCAGACCAGCAACACTTTCCCCTAAATCCCCTTTAACTAGAGTGTCCTATTTTTCGTACAAACATGGACATCAGGACGTGAGCTCTAAATAAGGCCTGTCCGTGCAAGCCAGGAACAGGACATGGCCCATCTCTATCCTAACTGTCCCTGCTCCTTCCCAAAGTTCCTCTCTGCTGCCTGCAGCATCCCATCCTTCATCTGTCCTCCAAGACTCTCTGCCCAGCCTAGAGCAAGCCATCTAGAAGGCTCCGGGGAACAGAGAGGCACTCCCTGACTATCCAACCCCTCCAGGACTTCCCGTTGCATTCCAGCCCCTTCTACTCTCCTCTCCTGTCGTGCTCGCCCCTGCTCACTGCACTGCTGCCCCACAGGCCTCCTTCTGTTCCTCAAATATCCCAAGCTCTTTTCCACCTCAGGACCTTTGCACATATTCCCTCTGCCTGGAATGCTGTCTTCATGGCTGGCTTTTCCTCTCCTGTAGGTAGCATAATGGCTAGAAACATAGCCTGGAGCTAGATGTACTGGGTTGCAATCCTGGCACTACCACTTACCAGCTGTGTGCACTTGAGTGAATTTTTAAAGCTGCTGTGCCTTCCTTTCCTCATCTGTAAAATGAGGGTGATGAAAATAATACTACCAGCCTCATGACGTTGTTGTGAGGACTGAGTTCAGATGTCTATAAAGCGCTCAGAACAGTCTGGCCCACAGTGAATGCTTTCTGAGTAGTAGCTGTTGTTACCCTTTCCGTCTCAACTGCACTGTCTCCTCTTTCAGGGAGGCCCTTCCTGTCACTCTGTGAGGACAGGCCATCCCTTCAACGCCCCCTTGTTACTCTCCGTCTCACGAGCCTGTGTGTCTTTCATAGCGACCCCCACTTTATCCTTCTCTCTTTATTTCCCCCTTGTCTCTCTCAGGGCCCTGTGAGCTCCCTGGGGGCAGGGACTCCGGCTGCTCTTGCTCACAGGGTACCCCCAGCACCTGGCTCGGGGTCTGGGGTACAGCAGGGCTCAGTGGAGAGTTGTCAAATGAATGAATAGTTCAAATTAAATAAACGTGTAATGAATCTTGTGGGCTATTTCCTTAGAATATGAGCCGCCTGAGTACCAGGACCCCGTTTGTCTTGTTCGTCGTTCTATCCCGGCACCTAATAGCCCCTGGCACATGGTAGGCACCCAGTGAACAGTTGTTCAATGAAAGCATTAATTCTAATGAATTGTATAATTGGTTATTTTCAGTCTCCACATTCCCCCCACCCCAAGAACGCAAGCGTGATGAGCCGAGGGTCCGTGTCTGTGGCTTTTCGCTCTACCCCTGCTGTATTAGCTCAAGGCCCTGCACAGAGGAGCTGCTGGATAAATAACAAAATGAAAAGCGAGCAGGAGTAGACATGGTGGGGAGGACTCACCCCAAACCCTGGGATTGGAGCTCCAGATTTTACCGAAAACTCGGAAGGTCAGGGAAGCACAAGGGGCATCTGGATTACAGAACTTGGCAAGGATTGTGTGGTCCGAGGCATCCTGGAGGGCTGGCGGGGGAGGGGGGCCTTGACGGTGGGCTGGGTGTGCCCAGCGCGAGTGTGGGCACAAGGTGTTTTGAAGCAAAGCACTTGTGCCAGGAGAAGTGATTTCTGTGCAGCAGATAAAGGTTGTAGAGTCTCTGGATTTCATGGGGCCCTGAAACTCCCCTCGTCCCACCTGCACATTTGAAAAATGGGGAAACTGAGGCTGTGAGAGAGTCAGCAGCGGACCTGGGTGGACAGCCGGGGAGTCGTTGCTGGTGTCCGCTTCCTGGTGTACCACCCCCCGCCCCCCGGTGGAGGAGCTGCAGATGGGGTCGGGGAGGGGATCTGGGCGGCCCACAAACCAGTCCTGCTGGCCCTCCACGGAACGCCGGCCTGGCCGGGAGCCGGGAACAGCTCTCCAGACCCGCAGAGCTGGCTGCCTTCGTGGAAAACCTGGCTGACCCAAGGAGGATAGCTCGAGGCTATTCTTTTTTTTTTTTTTTTTTGTGAAGAAGATCAGCCCTGAGCTAACATCTGATGCCAATCCTCCTCTTTTTGCTGAGGAAGACTGGCCCTGGCTAACATCCGTGCCCATCTTCCTCCACTTTATGTGGGATGCCACCACAGCATGGCCTGACAAGCGGTGCGTCGGTGCGCGCCTGGAATCCGAACACGCAAACCCCGGGCCGCCCAAGCGGAGCACGCACACTTAACGGCTGCACCACCAGTCTGGCCCCAGCTCAAGGCTGTTCTATATCCATCCAGTGACAAGCCTAATAGGTTCATCGTCGTCATCGTCATCATTATCACCACCAGCAGCATCACCATCATCAAGTATTTACCTGAGGATTGTGGGAGTCCTTACAGGTTGGGTCAGTGGGGGTCTCAGCAGAGAGCGTGGAGAGGAGACCTTCCTGCTCCCACAGGCAGACTCGGGGCCATTCGCTGAGCGTTTCCTCCACACTGGGCCTGGAGCCAGCCTAGGCTGAGAGGAAACGGCACTCCAGTCCCCACAAGCCCTGACAGAATGTGGTGGGAGCCATCAACTGGTGCCAAGTCCTGAGGGATGTGGACCTTCATCCACTCTCATTCAAGTGGGGGATCAGAACAAAGCTCTACGTAGGATATTTTCATTAGAATTAGATTTGACTGCATGTGCTGGGGAAAAAAGTAAAATAAAATAAGAGAGACTTAATCAAGATGGAAGTTTAATTTCCTTTCATTCAGAAGAGCTTCGGGGTTAGGCATTCTAAGGGCTGGTAGGGCATCTTCCCTGGCATTGGGAATCACGACCACTTCCAGTTTTTTATTCTGCAATCCCTGCAATATGTCCTTGTCCTCATGGTCCAGCTGGCTGCAGAAACTCCAGTCATCACATCCACATTCCAACTAGTAAGAGGAAAGAGTCCAAGTTCCTCTTGTAGTGACTTAGAGTCACCACTCTCACGGAGGCACCTGCTGCAGGGGTATAATAAACCAGAGGTCTTAAATACTCACTGAGTGTTCATCCTAGTCATTGCCATCAGTCGTTTTCACAGTTGATTTTCTTTCTAGCCATTTTGTTTTTTATGTTTGTTTTGCCCTTTTCCAGATTCGCCTTTGCTGGAGGTTATGACACATTTTCCCCCAGACGATTTTGTTGTGTGTTCTGCTTGTATAGGTAATTGATCTTTGCTGTAAACAATTTAAACAATAACACAAAGTACAGTCACGCGTCGCTTACCGATGGGGATACGTTCTGAGAAATGCGTCCTTAGGCGATCTTATCACTGTGAATGTCACAGAGTGCTCTCCCACAAGCCTAGATGGCGTCACCGAGGCTCTATGGCGCTGATCTTATGGGACCACCACCGCACCGTGGGTCCGTCGTTGACTGAAATGTTGTATTCGGTGCATGACTGTAATTCAGTGACGCCCTCCACTGAGCGATGGGCACTGATCCCGTTCCAGTCAATATCCTTCTGGACATTTCTCTCTGCTCTTCCCACCCCTCCCCCCCTCTGCCATTACAGCCCTGGTCCATGTCACCATCATCGGGCCTGGACTATTGCAAGAGCCTCCTAACCATCTCCCGGCTTCCCTCCTCACCCTGCTCCAGGCTATTCTCGATCGATAGCCAAAGTGAGCAGGTTTTTTTTTAATTGAGGTGAAATTCACATAACATAAAATGAACCATTTTAAAGTGAACAGTTCAGTGCCATTTAGTGCATCCACAGCGTTGTGCAAACACCATCTCTATCTAGAGCCAAAACATTTCCAGAATAAAACCCCATACCCAATAAGCCGTTACTCCCCATTCCTTGCTGCCCCCAGCCCTTGGCAACCACCAGTCTTTCTATGGATTTACCTATTCTTGATATTTCCTATGAATTAAATCATGTAATATGTGACTTTGTGTGTCTGGCTTCTTTCACTTAGCATATTGTTTTTGAGACTCATTCATTCCCTTTTCTCGCTGAAGAATATTCCACAATTTGTTTATCCATTCATCCACTGATGATCAGTTGTTTCCAATATTTGGCTATTGTGTTTAGTGCTGCTATGAACATTCCTATGCAAGTATTTGTTTGAGGACTTGTCTTCAATTATTTTGGGTGTATACCTAGGAGTGGAATTGTTGGATCACATGGTAATTCTACATTTAATTTTTTGAAGAACTATGAAATTGTTTTCTAAAGAGGCTGCACCATTTTACATTCTCACCAGCAGTATACAAAGGTTCCAGTTTCTCCACATCCTCTCCTTTCCATCCACATCCTTTCTGTTTTGGTTTTTTGTTTTGATTATAGCCATCCTCGTGGGTGTGAAGTGGTTTCTCACTGTGGTTTTGAGTTGCATTTCCCTAATGACCAATGATGTTGAGCATCTTTTCATGTGCTCGTTGGCCGTATGTATATCCTCTTTGAAGAAATGTCTCTAAGTCTTTTGCACATTTTAAAATTGGTTTTTTTTGTTGTTGTTGAGTTGTAAAAGTTCTTTGTATATGCTGGATACTAGACCCTATCAGATATATGATTTGCGAATATTTTCTCCCATTCTGTATGTTGTCTTTTCACTTTCTTGATAATATCCTATGATGAACAAAAGTTTTAAATTTTGATGAAGTCCAATTGATCTGTTTTTTCTTTTGTTGCTTGTTCTTTGTTGTCTTATCTAAGAATACATTGCCAAATCTAAGGTGATGAAGATTTACACCTATGTTTTCTTCTAAGAGTTTTATAGTTTTGTCTATTATTGTATTTAAGTCGTTGACCTGTTTTCATTTCATCTTGCACGTAGTGTAGGATAGGGATCCAGCTTCGTCTTTTTGCATGTGGGTATCCAGCTGTCCCAGCACCACTTCTTGGAGAGGCTGTTCTTCCCCCATTGGATGGACTTGGCACCCTTGTCAAAAATCAATTTGCCATAGATATATGAGTTTACTTCTGGACTCTCAGTTCTGTCCTAATGTCAGTGCCACACTGTTTAACTCTGCAGTAATTTTTGAAATCAGGAAGTCTGAATCCTCCAACTTTGCTCTTTATCAAGATTGTTTTGGCTATTTGGGGCCCCTTGTAATCCCAGATGAATTTGAGGATTGGCCTTTCCATTTCTGCAAAAAAAAAAAAGGCCCTTGGAATTTTGATGAGGATTGCATTGAATCTGTAGATTGCTTTGGGCAGTATTGCCATCTTAATATTGTCTGCCAACCCATGAACTCGGGACATTTTTCCATTTATTTAGGTCTTCTTTAGTTTCTTTCAGCGGTGTGTTGCAGTGTTTCATGCACAAGTCTTTCACCTCCTTGGTTAAATTTATTTCTAAGTATTTTATTCTTTTGGGTGCTCTTGCAGATGAAATTATTTTCCTAATTTCCCTTTCAGATTGTTCATTGCTGGTACAGAAACACCGCTTATTTTTGTATGTTGATCTTGTACCCTGCAGCATTGCTGAATTCACTTACCAGTTCTAACAGTTGTTTTGTGGAATCTTTTCTGTTTTCTACATATGAGATCATGTCATCTGTGAACAATGATGTTGCTTCTTCCTCTCCAGTCTGGATGCCATTTATTTCTTTGTCTTGTCTTTTCACCCTGACTTGGACTTGCAGTGCAAGGTTGAATGGCGGGAGTGAGAGCAGGCATCCTTGTCTTATGATCTTAGGGGTTCGTTTCCTCATCTGTCAGGTCCCAGCTCATAGGCCATCATCTCAGTGAGGCTTCCCTGACCACCCCACCCAAAACAGCAGCGCCCCCTTACCCACAGCCCCGCCAGGGACTGCCTGGTCCTTTGCTCTGCTCTCTTCTCCTCCACAATGCTGACTTATCATCCTCTCCTCTCACTAAGTTTTAAATTGGTCACTGCTATTCCTCAGCTTCTAGAAAAGTGCCTGGCACATGGGAAGCATGCAATAAATATCTATCGCATGAATAAATAAATATATACATTTATTAATAAATAATAATAATAATATATGTACATGGAATTCCATATACATGGAATTAAAATGCTCGTGCTATTTTGTAAACTTGCTTTTCACAGAACATTTTGTCTTGGGCATTTTCCTTCTTGGTAAGTGGAGATCTCCATCATCCTTTATAGTAACTGCTGGAACCCCATCGTATGGATTCCTCAACAGTCCCCACTGGCAGGCACTGTGGTGACCTTGTGTGTGCCTCTTTGCTCCCTTGTTCTGTTATGAGTCTGCCACTTTAAAAATAAAATGTCCTGGGGCTGGCCCAGTGGCATAGTGGTTAAGTTTGTGCGCTCTGCTTTGGCAGCCCGGGGTTCGCAGGTTCAAATCCCTGGCTCGGACTGACACATTGCTCATCAAGCCACGCTGTGGCAGCGTCCCATATACAAAAAATAGAGGAAGGTGGGCACAGATGTTAGCTCAGAGCCAATCTTCCTCAGCAAAAAAGAGGAAGATTGGCAACAGATGTTAGCTCAGGGCCAATCCTCCTCAACAACAACAACAAAATGTCCCATGAGGCAAGGATACACTTTTGCTTCCTAGTCCTCTTAATAATCTGAGTGTATTTTATTTACTTTGTTTAGAAATGTTTCTAAGTTCTTCTCTCATATCAGAACCCATGGTTAGGGTTTCCCAGACCCTGGCATTCTATTGTATTTCTCTTTTGTGCATTTTTCTTTTCTTTTTCTACTTACAGGTTGTTTAAATTAATGACCCATGTTTTCAATCAGGAGCAGGCTAGTCTGACCAAGTTATAAAGTTGTTCTTTTCAAATGTGGAAGGTGCTTTGTTGGAAACCTTTGATTCCTATTCTTTGGGGAAGTTTTGCACTGGGGCCCCAGAGGGAGAAACCCCGAGGGAGCCTCAGCATCGAGGGATCCACAGGGTTCTGGGACGGTCCCCCCGGGGCCCTCGCCAGAGGCTGCCCCAGCACAGCCACATGCCCTGTAACAGCACTCGTGTGTTTGCAGGAAAAGTCTGGGTCCCCAAGCAGAAGCCGATGGCTCCCGTGCTGGAAAGCGTGACGCTGGAGCCGGAGCTGGAGGAGGCCTTGGCAAACGCTTCGGATGCAGAGCTCTGCGACATCGCAGGTAATTCCAGAAGCCTCCTCAGAAAGGTTTGATCCACGTCTGCAGGGAGCTTTGGATGGTTTATTTCAACATGAACACCCTCTCTGTTTCTAACAAGGACTAGAGGAGACCAAGAATATAAAAATAGAAATGCATTATCAAAAACCAAAATGAGGAAAATAGAGATAAAACCACCCCAACCCATCACACCAGGAGCCATCTGTTGTTGCCATGAGACCCCATCCAGTGGCATGCGGAAGCATCCCAGGGAGGCCAGCAGGGGCCCTTTACCAGCCGCTGCATGCAGCCCTGCCCAAGCCACCTGGGAGGAGAGAAGGGAGCGGCACAGACAGAGGGCTGGGGCATCTCGGGTTCAGGAGGCTTACAGAAGGCTGGGGCAAAGTCGTCTGATTTTACAATTTTGCACAGCTCAGAGAACCGCGCTTTGAGGTGATCAACACGTAGCTCGTATTTGTACAACATCCTCCATCTTCATGTGTGTTTCCATATGATCTTCACAAACAGCCCCTAAAACTCCAGAAGGTGGTCTGATACGCAGAGCCCTTCGCCACCTGCCCCGTCTCCTTATTACGGTCTAGTCCCTGCTCCATGTGCCCTGTTTTCCATCCCCACCGAGGGTCAGGCTCTGGCCACAGCAAACACCCCGCATGCCAACTGTTGTACTGGGCTCCCTGGGCCGGGGGCTGGGAGTGGTCTTTTTATTCTGCAGACTTGGGGGCTGCTAACCATCACCCAGATGATGTCAGGAGGGTGGTGGGGGTGGAGAGAGACTCAAGGAAGCGGGAACAGGAGAGGAAAGATGGGACCTGTGACTGTCTGGCTGTGACGGTGAAGTCGGGGGAGGAGTCAAGGAAGGTTCCAGATTTCCAGCTCTAGAGAGACTAAGTGGATGTTGCTGCCATTAATGAAGGTGGGTATATTCATCTGCTTGGGCTGCCATAACAAAATACCACAAGCTGGGTGGCTTAAACAATGGAAATTTATTTTCTCACAGTTCTGGAGGTTAGAAGTCCAAGATCAAGGTCTCAGCAGGTTTGGTTTCTTCTGAGCCATCTCTCCTTGGCTTGCAGATGACCACATCTCACTGTGTCCCTGTGTCCCACTGTGTCCACTGGTGTGCCTTTGTGTGTCCTAATCTCCTCTTCTTATAAAGACACTAGTCAGATTGGATTAGGGCCACTCTAACAAACTCATTGTAACTGAATCATCTCTTTAAAGACCTTATCTTCAAATACAGCTACAAATTCTAAGATATTGAGGATTTGGACTCAACATGTGAATTTTGGAGGGACAATTCAGCCCCTAACAGTCGGGGGGGGAGCAGGTTTAGGGAAAATACCGAGTTCGGTTTGGGACCTTTGGAGTCCGAGGTGCCTGTGGGCCACCCAGGTGGGGACAGTTGTACATCAATGCAGTTCTGCGAGGGGTCCACGCTAGAGCCCTTGTGGCATCATTAGCGTAGAGACGAGGGCATCATTAGCATTGTCAAGCTCCAGGCAGAGGACATGACAAGAGTAGGGGCCTGGGGCCCTGGAGGCAAGTGCCCTGGCCAGGGTAGAAGCCTTTGAGAGATGAAGAGTGGAAATTGGGCAAAGCCCACAATGGGGGCCAGTTTGCTACAAATGGGCTGGGAACCAAAGGCCAAATCAAGATGGGCAGAACCTAATGCAAGAGCTAGGGAGACAGAGCAAGGGTTCAGGGCTGGCTGGGAGACTCAGAGATACGTGAGGCCAGAGGCCAGGTGAGGCCAGCAGTGCCGGGGGCTCAGCCGGCTGCAGCCGTCTTCCGCCTCATCCCCTCCTCCTGCTTCCCGTGGGTGGGTGCGTGAGTCCTGAGGGCCTTCATGGGGGGGGGGGCTCTCATCTGTAGTGTGACCATGGGGGAGGGGCAGTGAGAAGACTCGAGTATGCACGAGGGGTGACACTAGGTGGTGGTGGCCAAAGCCAGATTGCAGGGACCCCAGGAATGAGTGGGGAGAGCCAATGTGTAGACTCTGAGTCCAAACAACCCTTTCCTCCGGAGGCAGAAAATCTGAGAAAGAACAAAGGACAGTGGCTTGAAGAGTGTCAGGGCTGAGAGAGAAAGGTTTTCATTTCCACTGTGAAGTACAGAAGCGGCGAGTATTTCACCCAGATGGAAACGGAACACTGACCTTGGGGAACTTCATTGGTTTGCTTTGCAGTTCAAGATTTGTTTTGTCAAAAGCCACACAAGTCATATTGAATCCCACATTATGCTCATATATTTCGACCGAACCACTTCCCTGATGGGGGTCCCCGTGACTGATCTGTGCGGCAGGGAGGAGGTGGGCGACACCGTTGTCCAGCATCTCCACACTGACTCACGGAGCTGTTTTTATCCTGGTCCTTCTCCTCTGATCACCCTCCATGACGTCACTCCCCTCATTGGGCAGCTCAGGGGGATTATCAAATAACTCCGCTGTCAGAACCGCCAGTTCCTGTGCCAAAATAGAACTGCAGTATTGTGCTAAGTTTCTGTGTTGATTTCTTAAAACCATTTCTCTTTATTTTTGTTGGCGTGGCTAATTATTAATATCTGTTCGTGATACCATACCCTTCCGACGTCTGGAAAGGGCAGGGGAGCTGTAAGTCGACACTAATATTAACTGCTAACCTTGGGCACCTGTCATTGTATATCAGCCACTTCTTGGCCACCAACTATGTCCCAGATGCTGTGGGAGTTGCTCCCAATACCTGGGTGCATTTATTAGGATTGCAGGAATCCTAAGAAGTAAATTTTATTGTTGTCCACATTTTACAGATGGAGAAAGTATGCATGGTGAGATTAAATGTCTTGCCCACGGGGTCTGAACCCAGGCAGCTTCGTTCTGGGGCCCACTGGCAGCATCACCATCCAGTGCAGCCTCGATAAAGCTCTCCTGGGTGGGGGAGGTGGAGACAGGGTGGTGAGAGGGGATGCTCGGCCAAGACTCATGGAGTTGGCTGGGGGAGGATTGGCCGCATTAGGAAAGGCTCTGGATGTCACGCTAAGGCGTTGACACTTGGGCCTAGGAGGGTCCTGGGGAGGCTGGATGAAAGCAGGGTTTGGGCAGAGAGGCGGTGGTGTTGGGAGGATGAGCATGTAGGAGGCAGACTCCAGGTAAGGCCAAGGCCTGAGGTGCAGAGGGGAACTCCGTCTGAGATGCGGCTCCTCCGAGAGACCAGCTGTTCGTAGTGCTGGGTCAGAGGCTCAGGTGCTGAGATGACGCCACCAGGCGTCCTGGCCTGGGGCACCAGAGAACAGAGCCGGTGCTGCAGGGAGATCTGCTCCGCCAGGGCGCTGTAAGAGGTGGAGACGGGGCATCTTGTCGGAGCGCCCCCCAGAGAGCTGAGGGGGGAGTTCCAAGCCTGTCCTGATTAGGGGAAGTGTGGATGACTCCTTAGAGAAACAGAAGTGGAGAGAGGAGGGCGCAGGGTCTGCAAGTTGTCTCTAGTCTTCAACTCGACTCCCAGGCAGAGGGTTGCCATTAACTTCCCTTCATTTGTCCACTCATTCACACACGCAACACCATTCATCTGGGGCCTCCCCACTGTGTGCCAGGCTCCCCACTGTGTGCCAGGCTCCCCGCTGTGTGCCAGGATCCAGACGAGTCCTGGCGAAGGATCAGAAGAAAAGAGCGCGGTCCCTGCCCCTGCGGAGCCAACTTTAAACAAAGACTCAGGCCCGTGTGAAATGACAAGTGAGAGTGAGGGTCATAACAGAAGGAGGACAGGGTGCAAGAGGGGGGCGTGGTTGGGGGGGCCGGGGAGCTGAAGGGGAGGGAGGAGGAGTAGGGGTGACCTTGGGGGAGAGCACCCCAGGCAGGGACATAGCAGGAGCGGCTGGGAGCTGGAAGAGGCACCCCCCTGAGCCGCTTGCTTCACAGGCTTGATATTTGGCGATGATAGGACCTGTGGGCGGACACCCAGCAGAGGTGTCACGCTGACTCAGGTGTGACCCGAGTAAGGCAAGGCCCCTGAACCCTCGTTTGTACATTTGTTTCCTTGTTTGTGCATCATTCCTGTGTGTGTTCTTTCCCTCATGGAGTCAGCGTGCATTGTTGAACTCCTGCCGTGTGCTAGGATGAATCAGGACCAGTCCCTTCCCTCGGGGGCCCAGGATGTGATGAGGAGGACTGACCAGAAGCATCTACTTCTGCATGAGCAGTGTCGCCGCAGGGCGAGGAGCAGAACGCACAGGCCCCTGACAGTGCTAAGTTCTCAGCATATGGCCTTGGATTGTAGCCCAGAGGCCACTGGGAGTCACTGCGAGCACTTGGCATTATCGGTGCCTCTCCTCCCCGTCGGGGATGTGATCCTGGCTCACCTTTAGGGACCCTCCAGGTGGGGCAGGACCCAAGAAGGAATTGGGGGTAGGAGACTCACCCTTCAGAGGGGCCAACCCCCAGGCCACCCCCAAGGGCAGTTGGCACCCCTAGCTCTTGTGACTATCCGAGGCAGTCCTCGCCAGCCCACCCCCCCCCACCCCCACCCACACCCCTCGCTTCTGCTGTACTTTCATGTCCTTAGGCACCTGATCTCCCCAGTCCTGGGCGGGAGCCATCTCCTCCCACCTGTTCCTAGGACGCAGGAAAACACCTTCCCGCTGTCTGCCCAGAGCTGCCCTGGCAGCTGGCAGCTGGAGCAGCCATGGATGTGTGCCGCTATCTTTCTCATCCTAAGTGGAATTAAGAACTGAGTGAGCCCTGCCAAGGCAGAGGGAGGAAGAAGAACTCGATGTTCTTTTTCAGAGTTCAAAAATAGTTCTTTTTTGAGTTTTGAGGAAGATCTAGACTTTAAAAAAAAAAAAAAAAATCATGTTCCTCGGCGCTAAATTCAGCCTTGCCAATAGCTACAAAGAATGAAGCAGCAGGCAATGTTGATGTGCTGTTTTCCTCCATCACTCACTCCTGCTGACGTGGAGTGTGCAAAACCACGCAAGAGGAAAGTCACGACTTGGTGGCCAGGGATGACTGGCCTCGGAGCCCCAGGTGACCAAAGGGATGACTGGCCTCGGAGCCCCAGGTGACCAAAGGGATGACTGGCCCTGGAGCCCCAGATGACCAAAGGGATGACTGACCTCGGAGTCCCAGCCATCTGCTCAGCAGTGGAGGTTGAGCTTGGTCCCTCCCCCTCCCTCACTCCCCTTCCTCCCTCCTTCCTTCTTGAAACCCGAGTTTCCTTGAACTGCAAAAGGGTTTTCTTTCTTCCTAGGCCCGCTATTGACATGTATTACCTCCTAGAACAAACGCTATCTGTCCTTGGAATTCTGACACTGAGGGGAAATGTTAGAACTTCAGAACTGCTGGTGACCTGGTGTGCAGAGGAGTGGGTGGGATTTAGAAGCCAGGCGAGTCCTCGCTGGAGGATCTTTGACGAACCATTTCCTTCTTGAGCCTGCTGGAAAAATGGGGAGTGGACAGCACCTGCCCTGGATGCTCGTTGTAAAAATCCAGCAGGATCAAAGGTGAGACGTTGCGTGGCCGTTAACGTCCTATGTGAAGGTGAGAGATTAGCGTTCAGACACCCTCCATTGTACAGGTGAGAAAACCGAGGCCCCAGAAGAGGAAGTGAGCTGGCAGGGTTACTAGCCAGTCAGTGCCAAGGCCCGGGCTGGCCCAGGTCTCCTTCCTCTGTCCCCTGGCACTTCCTTGTGACCTTCCTGCCTCTGCCCACCTTTCTGGACCAAGACAGGAAGCTATCATCCGAGCACAAAATGCATTTTCCATTTTCCACCTTTGCATACACTCTAAGCGAGACTAGCCAGTCATATGAGGTTACATCTTTCCTATGATTCCCAGCCACCTTTCCAAGCTGTTTTTCCAAGCTGGAATCCCAGCAGCAGCCCAGAACGACCAGGAGCTGCTCCGCTTGTGGGAGCTGGGAGAGCAGCTGAGGAAGGTGACCGCACTGATCTGATTCACCTGCCGCTGACTCAGGCCGCAGCTCCCGCTGCCCCCTCACACGCAGCCGGAATTAAAGCCCAGGGAGCTCGGAAAAATGCAGCTGCCTCTCTCCCCACCAGTTCTCCTGAGCGACGAGCAGACGAGACTAATTTTAGCAGAGAAGACTCTGAGAATGTGAGAAACAGAGGGGACTGGGAGATCATCTCATCTTGTGGTTCTCAGCCCCCACTGTGCATCAGAATCATCCAAGGAGATTAAAAATATATCTCCGGAGATTTGGATCCGTCAGTCTAGGAGGAGCATTGACATTTCTTAAAGCTCCTGGCTGATTTGCTCGTGCAGCCATGATCAAGAACCAATGGTCTCGTCTCACCCCTCGTTTCACAGAGGAGGCTGAAGCCCAGAGAGGAGAAGGGACTTGCTCAAGGTCACACAGCATCCAGGGCATAGTCTGGATGGACTGGAACTTGGGTCTCCTGGCTCTTCACTAAGGGCTCTTGTCTTGTCTCTCTAACTAGAAATCATGTATAATGAAATGGCTGGGGGAATAAAAAAAAATCAGCAAATATTTACCAAATGCCATATTCTAGAAGAGGTGGAAGAGAGATAATATTCTTCCCTGACCTCCGGAAGCCCACAGTCCAGTAGGGGAAGAACACGTGTACCCAGATATCTCTAACACTGTGTAGACTGTATGCTGTGATGAGGACACCAGGTGCTGCCAGAGGTGTCCTGTAGAGAGGGAGAGGGAGGAATCCAAGAGGACTCCCTGGAGGAGGAAGTCTCGACAGATGGAAGGTAGACTTGTTAGGTCAAATGCAGGATGCTCAGCTGGATTTGAATTTCAGATAAACAATGGATAAGTTTTTAATATAAGTAGGTTGGAACATACTTACACTAAAATGTTCATTGTTTGTCTGACATTCCAATTTAACTGGGTTCCTGTATTTTTATTTGCTAATTCTAGCAACTCTACTGGGGGGGATTTCAGCAGCCGGCACTGCAAACAAAGAGAGCATTGCCAGCAGAGGGGACAGCACTGGCAAAAGCAGGAGAATCTGCTGAGCAGTGACCGTTTGTGTCACCAGAGCAGAAAGGGTGTGGCCGAGGGACAAGGCTGTTGAAGCAGGGCCAGTCCAGGGAGGCCAGGAAAGCCAGGCTCTGGGGTCACAAGCCACCGTCCTCCCACCTGGAAGGCTGAAATAGCCTCACAGTTCCCCCATGTCTTTCCCTGCCCTCTGTGGTCAGTTCTCCACACACAGCCAGAGTAACAGTGACCGAACTCGAGTCAGACCATCTCAGTCCCTGCTAAGGCCTCGGTGGCTTCCCAGGCCGCACCTAGAAAAAGACATCCAAACTCCTCCTCTCAGCCTGGAAGACCCTGCAGGATCTAACCTTGCCTGTTTGAGTAAAATCTACCCCAAAGGGTTGTTGTGAGGATGCAGGGGAAAGCATCAGGCAGTGTTCCCAACCTTGGCTGCCCAGTGAAACCACCTGAGGAACTTTAAAAAAGGCAGATGCCTGGGCCCCAGCCCCAGAGATTGTGGTTTAATTTGTCTGGGGTCAGCCAGGGCATCGGAGTTTCAAAAGATTCCCCGTGATTCCAGTGGGCAACCAGACTGAGAATCACCGATGGACGGCACACTCTGGCCGGAGCAAGCGCTCAGAGAGTGGGGGTGTTGCTGTCCACTCCGTGTCCAATTCATCTCTGTCCATCTGCTTCCCCTTCCCCCCTGGCCTTCTGCTCCCTGAGCCTAGGACTTCCCCACCCGCCATTCGCTCTGCCCAGAATGTTCTACCTCCCTTCTCTTCACTTGGCCAACACTTACTCATTCCTCCCATCCCAAGTCCCTCTGTTCTAGTCTCCCAGAACACACTGAACTTTTCCTTTACAACACTTATCAGAGTCTGTGCTTCTGTTTTAAATTGTGTGGGTACCTGGTTAGCGTCTCTCTCCCCCAGCAGACTGTTAGCTACGAGGGCAGGGATGCTGTCTTTCTTGTTCTCTGCTGTGCCCCCCAGAGCTGAGCACGTAACGCCAACAGTCAATAAATAACAAATGAATGGACAAAAGGATGACTGAGCACAGGAGTGATGTGGTCAGATTTGCATTTCCAGAAAGATCTTTCTGGCTGCTCTGTGCCGAATGCTGGGGGGTGGGAGGGTAGGAAGAGACTGCGGCCAGGACACCAGTGATTACACAGCTGTGATAATAGAGCCAAGAAATGACAGGGCCTCAACCAGGACAGAGGTGATGGAGTGGGAGGTAGGACAGGTGAGAGACACTGTATAGAAGGGTGGGGATTTGGGGGGCTGCCATGTGACTGGGGTTCTACCCTGAGGGATAGGCAAGATGACAAGATGAAAGGTGACCCAAAGGAAGACACTGGGAAAGAGGAGTTCTGTTTTGGCCAAATTGGGTTGGACAAATTGGTGGGACATCGGGGGACATCTAGGAATCTGAGGCTGGGGCCTAGAAGAGTCTAGGCTGGGTATAGAGATTTGAGACTCACGTCAATAGACGTGAGAGTAAAACTCAAATAAAATTTTAAAGTTTTCATGCAAATGTTTCTTGCCATTTCTGTGAGCAAAAATTCCTGGGGTGTGGAATATCAGTGCCCAGGAGGCTCTTCTGTCTGAGAGAGGCGAGTCATGGGCCCTTCCCCTGTCCCCGCAGCTATCCTGGGCATGCACACGCTCATGAGCAACCAGCAGTACTACCAGGCCCTGGGCAGCAGCTCCATCGTGAACAAGGAGGGACTCAACAGTGAGTACGCGGCCCTGACGGCCCGGCTTCAGCACCCCCACCCCCAGCGAGCACCTCTTGGAAGTGAGAGCTGTTCACACTTCTTGCTTCCCCTGCCCACTCGTGCTTTCTGGCAGAAGTTTTAAATATTAAGTAGCCAAATCTATCCACTTTTCCCTATTACTCTCCTGGGATTTGTGTCTTGTTTACGCAGGCCTTCTCCATCCCAATATTATAAAAATGTCCTCCTATATTTTCTTCTGAAAGTTTTAGAGCTTTACTTCTTATATTAAACTTCTTAGCCCACCTGGAGTTCATGTTTGTGTGTGGTGTGAGATGAGATCAAGCTGTCATTATTTAATGGATATCTCATTGTCCCAGCACCACTGTTTGCAAAGATCATCCTTTCACCACTGGTTTGGGACTCCACTTTGATCGTAAATTTCCACGTATCTGCATGGGTCTGTCTCTGGTCCCTCTTCTGTTCCACAAGTCTCCTCGTCCTTTCCTGTGCCAACGTTGCATTGTCTTAATTGCTCCACTGTATTGTTCCAAGCTGGCGTTTTGGCCCCAGAGAGAAATGAGGGTGCCAAAAGAATCACCAGCCCTCCCTCTGGAAGGCTTACCCATTTCACAGGTTTCATTTTATCCTCACAACAGCCCACTGAGCACAGGTAAAGGGACTGTTCACACTCTACAGATGAGGACACCGAGGTTCAGAGAGTCCACTAAGGAATTCACCAGTTCTGTGGGACGTCAAAGGCAGATCCCAGCAGGGCCTAAACCCCTGGCTTCAGTGCAGGGCGTCTCCGATGCATCGCCCCCGGGGCCTAGCCTTCACACGTCCCTGACCCTGCCGCCACTTCCTTCCAGTGTTCTTCTGTTGAGGGAACGTAATCCCCGTTTCTGTGAGCCCACCTCGCTTTTGTCTGTCACCCTAGGTGTGATCAAACCTACACAATACAAGCCTGTGCCCGACGAGGAACCAAATTCAACAGACGTAGAGGAAACGCTGCAGCGGATAAAGAACAACGACCCGAAACTTGAAGAGGTTAACCTCAACAACATCCGGGTAAAGTCTGTTATTGCGCTTCACCTGTGGGATGGGGGAAAGCCATGCCCCGTGTCACCCGGGTGCAGACGGCCCAGGCTTGGCTGTGCAGAGAGAACAAGGTCCTGCTTGGGCTCTGGGTGCTTCTGGACCAGGGATTGGGGCAAAACCTTGAAGAGGGGCGGACAGTGTAAGCCAGCGCATCCAGAGTCCTGGTTTCTTTCAGAGGTCTGACATCAGGCCCAGATGTCCACCCCAGGCCAACCCAGCTTCGACTCTGGAAGCCTGCCATGTTATTCAAAACACTGAGAGCTTCTCCAAGATGTAATCGTGAGTCAGACACACACGGCTGCTCAGGACCTCAAAGCTGGAAAAGCGCAGTGCCCACCAGGCCCAGGGGCTCGTGGGGGGGCCCACCCCTGACAGTGCTGCTACTGCGTCGTGCACAGAGTCAGCCTCATTCCGCAGCCCTGCAAGGGAGCTGCCGGCCCAAATGTCCAAAGGCATATTCCAAGCTGTCGGCCCACGTCTCCCCACACATTTCCCATGTGACCACCAAGGGCGGAGAGGGACAGATGGACAGGCAGTCGTACCCTGGACAGGCTGCAGGAGGAATTCAGAAGCAGGCCCAGCTGCCCGCCCACCTGCTCAGCCCAGAGGCCAGTGGGATCAGCCCTGGGAGGGTGTGGGGGGAAGACAAGCAGCAGCCCCTCACTCCCCGGCTCCTCTTTCCTCTCTTCTCCGCTTGCTTTTAAGTGACTGCCAGCCCCTCGGCACAATCAGATCGGAAACCTGCGCCCTCGGTGTTCTCTTCCACCTGGCCTCCCCGGGCTCCGCTCCCACGGGGAGCTAAAGTGACGCTCTGAAATGAGAGAGCCGTAAAAACACAGCCAGTTTCTCTCTCGGGCCTCCGCTGTCTCCTGCGTGCCCAGTGGGAGACACTGGCACAATTCTGAACTGTGCACGTGGACGGTGCCTGCCGGCTCGAACCAGGGGCCTCAGGCAGGGGCTCAGCCCTCTCCAGGCCTCAGTTTCCCCTCTGCACATGAGGCAGTTGGACTAGATTGGTGGTTTTCACCTGAGGAGGTTAAAAAATATATACCGGTGCCCAGACCCCCCTAGAGATCCTGGTTGTGTTGGTCTGGAGCAGGCCGAGCATCACCATTCTGTGAAGTTCCCCAGGGGCCTCTGCCGTGCAGTGGAGCTGAGACCCTCTGGGACAGATGTCTCTTAGAGGTCATCTCGTGCAACCCCCCCACCTCACTTTTCCAGAAACAGGCCCAGAGGGGAAGAGATTTCCCCTGAGTCACAAAGTGAGTCAGAAACATTGCCGATGGCCAGGGTGGAGGCCCAGCCCCTGCCCACCCCACACCCCGGGCCTGAGCTCTTGGCACCACATGCCTCTGCATGCTCTGCCTTGATGTTTTCCTTCCCCTCCGGTCTCCATGTGTACAAAGAGAGAGTTGCGGGTCCTATCTGAAATTTTCAGGAATTTTCTCAATCTGTTTACCAGAAAGTTCTCCCCAAACTTCAGCCATATGGGGCAAAGCTAGAACCTTTGCCCATTCAGCTGTGTGATCAGAGACTTGGAGGAATGGAGCTGCATGTGTGAGAGGGTTACCGCCCCATCTGTCTGCCCAACCTGCCTCTGGAGGGGGCTGCTGGTCACTGGCTGCCTTTCTCTCTGCAGAACATCCCCATACCCACCCTCAAGGCGTATGCAGAAGCCCTGAAAGACAACTCATATGTGAAGAAGTTCAGCATCGTGGGGACACGGAGCAATGACCCCGTGGCGTTTGTATGTACCATTCTGTTCTGCTGCATTGAGAATTGGGAGCATAGAAACAGAAGGGCTGATGCTTGTGGCCTCAGGATTGCCCGTGTCCCATTGACGGAGTGGGCTGGTGGTGGTGTAGTAAAGCCACTGGGCTAGGAGCCAGGAGAGGACATGGACAGAAGGGCCGGTACCTGGAAACCCTCTGTACATTATCCTAGTTAATCTCCACAACCACCCCAATCCCAGGGGTGCAGGTCTCCCCAATTTGGACATGAAGAACCTGGGGTGCAGGGAGATCAGCCAACTTGCATCATCCAAATTTGCATGGCAAGCGAGAGGTGGAGCTGAGATTTAAATGCAAGTCACGTTCAGCCTAAAGCCAGATTTCTCTCCAGTCAGCACCTCACATTTGGACAAGGGCCTGCCTCTCCCTGGGCCTGTTTCTCTATATCTAAAATCAATGTCTTCATCAGTGGGTCCCGATGACCAATTGTGTTTGTTTTTTACCCATGTCTTAAAGATATAGCTGATCAAATTAAATTGTACATATTATGAAGTAGCCATTGTTTCTTTTTTTTTTCAACATTCAACACATATTTATTGAGAGTCTCTTTGTACTCAGCACTGAATTAGGCTCTGAGATTACAACTGTGACCAAGACAGTCATAGCTCCCACTTCCTTGAACAGAACAATCCATTTGGCCATGTAAACAACTGAAGGATAACAGTACAGTGTGATCACTACAACATTAATAGCAGATAAAAAGTGCAAGAATTAGCTTCCCAGGCGTGGTAATTAACCAGTTAGTAGCAATCAGTTTGTTGATTATCCATAAAATAACTTGCTGGGGTTTTGATTGGGATTACATTGAATCTTATGGATCAAGTTGGGAAGAACTGACATCTTGACAATATTGAGTCTTCTTTTTTTTTTTTTTGTAAATTTATTTATTTATTTATTTATTTTGTGAGGAAGATCAGCCCTGAGCTAACATCCATGCTAATCCTCCTCTTTTTTTTTTTGCTGAGGAAGACCGGCTGTGAGCTAACATCTATTGCCAATCTTCCTCCTTTTTTTCCCCAAAGCCCCAGTAGATAGTTGTATGTCATAGCTGCACATCCTTCTAGTTGCTATATGTGGGACGCGGCCTCAGCATGGCTGGAGAAGTGGTGAAGCGGTGCATCGGTGCGCGCCCGGGATCCGAACCCAGGCCGCCAGTAGCAGAGCGCACGCACTTAACCACTAAGCCACGGGGCCGGCCCCGGTATTGAGTCTTCTTATGCATGAACAGGGACTATCTCTGCATTTGTTTAGCTCTTTGATTTCATTCATCAGAGTTTGGTAATTTTCCTCATATAGATCTTGTACATATTTTGTTAGCTTTATACCTAAGTATTTCATTTTTGGGGTGCTATTGTAAGTGGTATTGTGTCTTTAATTTCAAATTCTACTTGTCCATTGCTGGTATAAAGGAAAGCAATTGACTTTTGTATGTTAACTTTGTATCTTGCAATCTTGCTATAATCACTTATTAATTCCAGGAGGGTTTTTTTGTAGATTCTTTCGAATTTTCTACATAGATGATCATGTCATCTGCAAAGAAAGAAAGTTTTATTTCTTCCTGCCTAATCTGTACACTTTCATTTCCTTTTCTTATCTTATTGCACTAGCTAGAACTTCTATTACAGTGTTGAGAAGGAGTGGTGAGAGGGGGACACCCTTGCCTTGCACCTGATCTTAGTAATAAAGTTTTGAGTTTCTCACCATTAAGTATGATGTTAACTATAAGTTTTTTGTAGATATTCTTTTTCAAGTTGAGGAAATTCTCCTCTATTCCTAGTTTACTGAGAGTTTTCATCATGAATAGATGTTGGATTTTGTCAAATGCTTTTTCTGCATTTATGGATATGATCATGTGATTTTTCTTTTTTAGCCTGTTGATGTGATAGATTACATTAATTGATTTTTGAATGTTGAACTAGCCTTGTATACCTAGGATAAATCCCATTTGGTCACGGTGTATAATTCTTTTTATACATTGTTGGAATTAATTTGCTATTTTTTGAGGATTTTTGCATCTATGTCCATGAGAGAGATTGGTCTGTAGTTTTCTTTTCTTGTAATGTCTTTTCTAGTTTTGGTATTGGGATACTGCTGGCCTTGTAGAATGAGTTAGGAAGTTTTCCCTCTGCTTCTGTTCTGTGAAGAGATTGTAGAGAATTGGCATAATTTCTTCCTTAAATGTTTGGTAGAATTCACCAGCGAACCCATCTGGTGCTTTCTGTTTTGGAAGGTTATTAATTATTGATTCAATTTATTTAATAGATAAAGGCCAATTCAGATTGTCTATTTCTTCTTATGTGAGCTTTGGCAATTTGTGTCTTTCAAAAAATTGGTCCATTTCATCTAGGTTATCAAATTTGTTGGCATAGAGTTGTTCATAGGATTCCTTTATTCCTTTTGATTTCCATGGGATCTGTGGTGATGTCCCCTTTTTCATTTCTGATATTAGTAATTTGTGTCCTCTCTCTCTTTTTTTTTAGTTAGCTTGACTAGAGGCTTGTTGATTTTATTGATCTTTACAAAGAACCAACTTTTGATTTCATTGATGTTCTCTATTGATTACCTATTTTAAATTTCATTGATTTCTGCTCTGTTGTTATTTTCTTCTGCTTACTTTGATTTTAATTTGCTCTTCTTTTTCTAGTTTCCTATGGTGAAAACTTAGATTACTTAGATTTTAGATCTTTCTTCTTTTCTAATATATGCATTAAATGCTATAAATTTCCCTCTAGCATTGCTTTTGCTATATCCCATAAATTTTGATGTTATGTTTTCATTCTTCATTTAGTTCAAAATACTTTTTAATTTCTCTTGAGATTTCTTCTTTGACCCATGTGTTATGTAGAATTGTGTTGTTTAATCTCCATGTATTTTGGTATTTTCCCAAACAGTTATCTTTCTGTTATTGATTTCTAGTTTAATTTTATTGTGATCTGAGAGCAGACATTGTATGAGTTCTGTTCTTTAAAATTTGTTAAAATGTGTTTTATGGCCCAGAAGGTGGCCTGTCTTGGTGAATATTCCATGTGAGCTTGAGAAGAATGTATATTCTGCTGCTGTCGGATGAAGTAATCTATAGATGTCCATTATATCGAGTTGATTGATGGTGCTATTGATTCAATTATGTCTACTGATTTTCACCCTGTGGATCTGTCCATTTCTGATAGAGGGCTGTTGAAGTCTCCCACTCTAGCAGTGAACTCGTCTATTTCTTCTTGCAGTGCTATCGGTTTTTGCCTCATGTGGATTGCCGCTCCATTGTCAGGCACATACACATTAAGGATTGTTATGTCTTCTTGGAGAATTGTGTATCATTTCATCTTTATCATTATGCCATGCCCTTCTTTATCGCTGATAACTTTCCTTGTTTTGAAGTCTATTTAGTAGCAATCAATTCCTTTCTAATTTTTAAAATAGGTAGGACAATTTCCTTTGATATTTTTTAAATGATAGAAATAGTTCATAGTCTCTCATTGCTGCCAGTGGGGAACTTTGGGTTAGATGACCTCTGAACTCAGGAGATCACCAGTGGATCCTGAGTTTGCCCATAGAGACATGACAGGCAAAGCCACATGCCCTGTACACTGCTATGTCATGAACCAGGAACCAAGCACATCCATGCTGGCGCTCAGCTCAGCTCCACAAATGTTTATGGGGCATTGACTCTGTGCCAGGCCAACAGCTGATGTCAGCCCATTCACACCAGTATTCCCCTTGTTGAATACTAAAATGCTTCTGGGCCCATTGGTAAGTAAGACTGCCAGAACTCTGTGAATGCCCCCACTGCCTGCCCCAGCTCTTTTCCTGCCCCCACCCCCAACCCCCTTCCTCCATTCTGGTCCGGCAAACAAAGAGTTGGCACCTGGTATGGGAGTGCCTCTAAGACCTGCTCAGCCACCAGCATGTCCACTTGGATCTGCCTGGTGCATTCGCCTACTGGTTGTTACATATTTTGATTATCAGGCCAGGCTAGGCCTTTCCTGTGGAACAAGAAGGAGGCTGTGAAGAGGGCACAGACTGGGTCCCTCCCTTCAGGAGGGTCCAACCTACTCAGGGTCACAGATGAAGCTGACATGCCATCCTGGGGGTACACGAAAGTGGGGTGAACTGAGGAGGGAGTGATGATTTCAACAAGGAAGGCTTTTTGGGAGCTGAGCCTTGCAAAGGGCTCAGCAAGCAGGGACAGTGGGAAGGGCATTCCTGGCTCAGATCATCATTTCAGACAACCAGGGGCCAGCGATCGCATGTCCTGGGCCCATCAGCTGCTGGTGTCTCCTTTCCTCCGTGACGCATCGTTTCCACCAACTGCTAATTACCTCATTTCCTTGAGAGGCTCTGATTGTCATCTACACCCCCTGGCTGGATTCCTCCGAAACATCTTGGGGGCCACCTGAGCTCCTGTCCTCCGGTTTGCCGTGGCCACTTGCCCAGTGGAGTGGTTTCCCAGGCTTCCCTCTTTGCTCTCTGCTGCTCGGACAAAGAGAATGATGACTCCATGGAATTCCAACAGGGAAATTGAAGAGACAAGTGGAGAGTACATAGGGAGGTTGGGCTCTGCTAGTCACTCAGTGAACAGTGACAGGGATTGACTAGGTGGTGAGCACTGTGGGTACCACAGGAGGAATAAGGTGCATTTTCTTCCCACCAAGAGTATATAGTCTGATGGCAGAGACAACACCAGTATAAAAACAACTCTACACAGGGGAATACAAGTTCCGTGAGGGAGGTTATGGATAAATTCTGTGAGGTTCAAGAGGGCAGGCCACAGCTAGCTGGGGGTATCAGTAAAGGCTCTTGAGAATGGCCTTGAAGGACGGGCAGGGTTTGGACAAGTGAAGCAGACAGGAAAAGGCATTCCAGGTGGCAGGGACAGGATGAGCAAAGGCCAAGCGGTGGGAGAGCACCGGCCGTGCACGGGGAACTGAGCCTGAGGGAGCAGTGCGAGCTGAGGCTGAACAGTGGGGAGAACCAGGTCGTAGAGGCTTTGGATGCAGGCTGAGGAGTGTGGAATTCTCCAGGTGGGGGTTCAGGAGCCATGGCAGGTTGGAGGGGAGGAGAGACGCAGAGTTCTGCTTGGTGAAGGAAGTTGCTGAGATCGTCTTGCCTCGTCCTCAGCTCGAACCGCATGAGTTTGTGGGGGATTCGGGCCCCCAGCCAGCCTCCCTCAGTATTTTAGGTTCTGCCCAGGAGGGGCTCCAGCCTTGTTAGGGGTGACTCACGGGTACCCTCGCTTTTCCCCTGTTGCTCAAGGCCCTTGCTGAGATGCTCAAGGAGAACAAGGTGTTGAAGACACTGAACGTGGAATCCAACTTCATTTCCGGAGGCGGGATCCTGCGCCTGGTGGAAGCTCTCCCATACAACACTTCACTTGTGGAGCTGAAAATTGATAACCAGGTGACATGCGCAAGGGTCCCTTCCTGTCCTTCACTCCATGCCACTTGCTGTTCTGCGCTCTCCTGCATGCTGCTCCGGGGAGTACGTGCTGCTGGACAGAGCAGGGCTGCTGGTTAGGAAAGCTCCAGAGCCCAGCTTTGAGGGCTCCCTGCACACCCTCCACCACGCTCACTTTCCTTCTCCGTCATTCCTACCAAGCGCTCTTCCCGCTTCTGTTTGTGTAGCCCTAGTGATGGGGAGCTCACTCATCACCAAGATCAGCCCTTCCATTCTTAGCGAGAATATCCTTCCTCAGAGCCGAGAGAAATCAGCCTCCTGTAAGTCCTGTCTGTTGGGTTTACTTCTGTTCTCTGCTGCACACAGGACACATCTAGGGCACAGATCTTATACACCAGGCTAAATATCCCCATTTTCTTCAATCACTCCCCACTCAATGGGCTTTTGAGTCTCCTTACCATCGAGGTGATTCTCTGGGATAATTCTAGTTTGTCTTTATGCTTATGTGGTTATCGTTTCTCTATAACTTCTGTGGCTCAGTCATTTATTTTCAGAGTAAATCTTGCAGTTCTGACTTTCTAAGATGTTGCTAATAACAATATCTTGTATGTAAAATATCTTGTATGTTACACACGTTGAGGGTCTACTGCGGGCCGGGCTCTGTGCTGTGCACCTTACACACATCATCTTGGTCTTCCCAACAGCCTTGCAGGATGTGGGTATCATCTGTCTCAGTTTGCCGAGAGAAAACAGCTCAGAGAGGCTAAGACACACAGCTTCCTCAGGGCCACCAAGTTAGCACTTTAGGAGGTAGGATTTGAATCCAGGTCTTTTTGACTCCAAAACCCACACTCCTTCCACTACACGGCATTGTTTCCAATGTTACAATGCTTTCTTCTTTATGGTTTGTAGATTGGGAACTTTTTTCCCTACATGAAAATTTTTGCTGAATGGTTATATAAATATGTACATAGAAAAAAGATAGGAAGGAAATATAACAAAATTGTAAATAGTGGTTATCTCTGATTGAGATTATCTGTACTTTTTATCTTTATTGTAAATTATTACAAACCTACAGAAAAGTGCATAAAACTTAAATGTACAGCTTAACAAATCATACCAGGCATGTAACTCCTGTCCAGGTCAAGAATTAAAACATCACCAGCCTTCAGAAGATTTCTGTGGTCCCTTCCCAATCATAACCCCTTCAAAACTCTTCACAATTTGTGCCCTAATTACTTTCCTGCCTCCATGTCTTTGCTCTTGCTTTCCTCTCCTCTGGAATGTCCTCCCTTCCCCCTACTCCCTGCTCTGCCTGGAGAAATCCTCCTCTTCCTTCTGGATTCAACTGAAGCTTCTCCTTCTCCCAGTAGTGTTCTAAAACCAGCTGATTGTGCTCATCTCTTCCCAACTCCCCTTCAGTGATGGCACGTTGGTACCTTGAAATCGCCCCTAGTCTGAGTACTTACACTACGGAAATTGGAAAACACTACAAATCTAAACTTTCGTTTTTTGAGAACCAGCATACCACTGCCTTCTCCCATCAGCCTGCCATAGCCCCTCTAAGCCTCCCCTAGAGAGAGTTAGGCACTCCCTCTCTGTGTTCTCCTAACACCTTGGCTTCCTTCTGAGATTCTCAGAAGCTGGTGCTGTGTCTGAGTCATCTCCATTTCCCAGTGTCCAGCTCAGAACTTGGCCCTACAGTGGTCCTTGGTAAGCAGGGCTGCCCTGGATGGTTGTGCATGTCGTTCACTGCACAATGACATGGTAGGGGCAAAATCCAATCCACGTTTCACTCTCCAAGCCTTGGTGTGGGGCTTTGCTCACCCAGAGAGGGTACTTTTTTCTAATTCATATAAAGAGGCCACATGAGCCTGCAGCAGCCCTGTTATGTGAATTTGCTGCATTGGAGTCCTTGGAGTCTCATATGCCAGTGGCCTTGATGCTGTATCACTCATTCCCAGCGCCTCCCCACCCCACCCTTTATGCCCCCTCCCTTGGCCATTGCTGACCCTGGTTTATTGGAGGCAGAAGGGGCACAGTAGATGGAACAAAGGCAGGCAACAGGCTTGGCAGCAGCCCTGGGCCAGGCCCTGGGCTTGGCAGGTCACGTGACTCCAAGCCTGGCTGGGCAGGGAGTCAGGGTCTACCCAGCGTCAGCTGAAACCTGACTCCCGGGGCAGAATGTTGGCCTCAGGTCATTGTGGTGGCAGCTGACAGGAGCCAGCTGCCCCCTTCCCTCTCTCGCTGCTATCCCCCAGAGCCCAGAGATGGAGCCCATGCTGACCATCGCCTTCGCCCTCCCTGAACACCCTGGTGCCAGAACAATCGCTTCCCTGGGCCTCAGTTTCCTCTCTTGTACAATGGGGATAACAGGAATCTCTGCTTCTAAGGAGAGAGCAGATGTCAACTATGAGGTTGTGAATTTTGATGAACTTTGATGATGACTCCAGAGGTGATCGAGGGCGCTCACACTCTAAGAGTTAATTTCCTGAGCAGCTACCGTGTATTGTCATCTCATTTAATGCTCACGAGGACTCTGTCAGTGGGTGTCACAACCCACCACCGTAGTGTAGATGAGGAAACTGAGGCCCAGGCAGGCTGTGTAACCTGCCCAGGTCACACAGTAAGTGGCGGAAGATTCAAAGTCCGTGAACTGCGCCTGTCTGGGCTCTCGGACCCTGCTGTAGTGATGTGTGGGCCTCGCGTGGCTTTTCTCAGCTCTCCCCTCCCCTTGGTGGGAGGACAGAGCACTGGCCAGCACCCGCCTCCCATCCCGGGAGCCTCTTTTCTGGTTCATCTCAGCGTTTGGTGAGTGCTGGCTTCACCCTGGGGCTGTGCTGGGCGCTGTGTGTGAATACTCTGGCTCTGCCTCCAGGAGTTCCATGCTGGGTGGGAAGACAGACAAGGACAGAAATAACCATCGGAGCAGGTGCTCCAGCAAGCCACAGACAGTGGCCGTGAGTCCACTGGAGGGAGCAATCTCAGTCAGGAGCAGGCATCAGGGCGGGCTTCTTGGAGGAGGTGGAGTTTGAGATACACCGTAGGGTGGACAGTTGAAGTGGAGGCTGAGGCATCTCAGGTACAGGGACCACACGAACAAAGAGAAGGAGAGGAGAAACCGTGGAGCTCATCCAAACCAGACTGATGGTACCCCAGAGGAAAGCCAGACAAGGAGTGGGGAGTGCCAAGGGCTCTGAGTGGGTAAGCTGAGGGAAGGCGGGCTGTGGGCTGTTGTCTGCACCAGTCAGACTAGTGCTCCGGGAAGATGGTGCCCCGCTGGATGGGAGAGGATTGGGGGCGGGGAGAGGGCTCAGGGAGGCCAGCAGGGGCTGTGACCCCCAGGTGCGGGGACCGTGGGGAGGTGCTCCTGCGCACCCCGAGGCTGGAGACTAGAGGGGGCCCGGCAGGGGTGGGGGAGGGCGCGGCTGCAGCAGGTCTGGGGAGGGGGCTCTGCCGGCCGCGGCTCAGGGGAAGGCCACCTGCGCCTCTCACAGTGCGTCCCAAAGGCCTGGGTGGGCCCACTGCCTCCCCTTGGGTGCCCCAGCCCTGCGCTCTGGGGGGTGCCGAAGAGGAGGTGGTGAGTGGCGTCTGATTTATTCCGCATTCTTGGTTAGTCAGCGAGGTCTTCGGAGGCCACGGCTTTCTCCTCAGCTCCTGCGCCTGTAACCTGTGTCAGGGGGCTCTGTCCTCCTTTTCCCTTATACGGCCAGAGAAGGGGGCTTGAGGAGTTCTGCTGAGGTTGCCATGGGGCCTCGCAGGCTGGCTCGGGACACGAACTTGGTAACCAGGACTCTGGGGCTGTTTGTTTACTCGATTTCTCTTTATCTCCAAGCCCTGAGACGGCAGGGACGGCGGGAGGGGCAGGGGGCCCTGACCTAGAGCCTCATTTCACAGGCGGGGAAACTGAGAATCAGAGAGGGGATGGACGCGCCCGAGGTCACAGATCAGGTCAGGGTCAGAGCTGGGTTGGAGCCGAGGTGTCCAGCGTTCAGGCAGTTGCATTTAGGGATGGACGTAATGGACCCCCCCAGGGAGCAGGCAGACAGATGGGGTGCCTGCAGGCCCCGTCCATCGCAAGGGCCTCTGCCTCTCCTGAGTCACCCTCCTCACTCCCAGCACGGCTCCCTCCAGCAGGCCCTTCTCCAGGCCCCTTGGGCATGGGGCACTCTCCCTGCCCTTGGAGCAGACAAGGCCTGAAAACACAACCCCCTCCCCATGTGAACACACGTGCAAGGTCTGGGGCATATTGGCCGGATTTCTCACATTTCATTCCAATATTTGACAGTGAAGATGTGCTTAATATTTTGAAAAGAAGCTAAAGGAAGTGGATTGTGTTTTCTTGTTTTTCCAGGTGGGATTATTTTCTCAGTGGAAATTAGTTTAGAAAGAAAACAAAAGCTACGCTGGGATAGGATCCTGAAGGCTCTCCCACAGGGTGACCGACACCCCCTTCATTTTAGATCAGACACTCACGGCAGCTGGCTCACTTTTTTTTTTTAATGAGGCTGAATATGACTTTTGGTTTTGCAAGATGTCAGGAAAACACACTCTTGAAAACCAAGAGAGCGAGAGGTTTTGACCAATCATGTTTTCTGTTTTGTTCCTTATACATTTAGCTTCTAAGCCGCAGCTCTTGGTTTGTGCATAATTTCTGTCTGTAGTCCCGTTGCGTAGTGAAATAATTCAGCCTGGAAACAGTCAGTCACTGTCCCTTCCACTAGATGCCAATTATGTTCTTTCGCTGACCTCATTTCTCAGGGAAAAATGAGATCAAATCAGTGGAAATGACACAAAAAGATATGACATAGAGAAAACCCTTTTCCTACACAGATCAGAATCAATCAGAATAAAGATTTGTGACAACCGTCTCGCACCGTGTCAGGTCCCCGTGGAGGCTGCACTCTGTCCTGAAAAACCAGGAATGTCGGACCCAGGGACGACCTAGCTTCAATCTCTGGTACTTGAGGTCAAACAAGGGATCAAGGCCCTGCTAAGCCCCA